CCACCCATCTCAGCCTCCCAAAGTGCTGGGATTACAGGCGTGAGCCACCGCGCCCAGCCTCATAATGTATATTCTTATGTAACAAAAGAGAAAACAAACTTCCACAAAATATTTATTGACAAAACTCAAAACATAGTAATAATAATTGAGTAAGATTTTTAAAATTCAAGCCTACTAGTGGGAAGAATGGAATTCTTTCTTTGAGGAATAACATTTTGCTTAATTGGTGTTCTGCTGCTGTAGCATAAAAGCAGTCACAGACAAAATGTAAATGCATGAGTGTGGCTGTGCTCCAGTAGCACTATTTATGGATTAAGATGTGAATTTCGTATAATTTTCATGTGTTGCAAAATATTACTTTTCTTTTAATTTTTTTTCCCAGCCATTTGAAAATGTAAAAACTAGTTTTAGCTGAAGGATGATAAAAAAACAGGTGGTGAGCTGGCTGTGGTTCAGGGGCCCTGGTTTGCCAGCCTCTGCTGCAGAACGTCCCGTATTCTGCATGTGTCTGATTGCTTGCTCATGAGGTCATTCATTCTGGGCAGATTACCACAGGGTGATGGTCTGTGCGCCTCCCTGTATCTAGTAAAGGCTTGTGATAGGAGGTCATTCTATTATATGCGACAGTAAGTTTGATCCATTTTAAAGAGACATTTTTCCCTTTGTAGTAAGAAGCAATCTAGGGGTGATACTTGGGACCCTGAGAACATTTTTTTCGTCACAACCTTTCACTCAGTGGTTTTAACTTTCATGGGTGATCTTTGTCTAAATCAATCATGACACTGGAAGTTACAAATTAATAGGGATGTAATTTTTTTTTCACTTTTAACCTTTAAAAATTTTTAATACCACAAATAGAAAAGCACATAAAATAATTTTGTATAGTTTAACATATTTCTATAAAGTGATACTGTATGTCATTGCCACTGATGTCAAGAAATAAGTCTTGCCAGCACTCTAGAAGCCCCTAGGGCCTTCCTGATCCTGAGTGCCCCACTCTCCTCCCAAAGGGCATCATCTCCTGATTTTATGGTGATCCTTCATCGTTTTACCAGCTTTTCTTGCATTCCTAAACACTGTAGTTTATTTTTTTCTGTTTTGGAGCTTTATATACATGGGACCGTACAGCATGTATTCTTTTGTCAGGTGGCTATTCCTCCATGTTGTTGCATGCTTTGTTGATTCATTTTCACTGCTGTATAGTACTGCATAGCATGGCCATAACACACAGTTTATCAATCCGTTCTACCATTGATGGACATGGGGGGTTGTTTCCAGTTTTGTGCCATTCGTGCTGCTACAAACATTCTTAACATGTCTTTTGGGTCATGTGGGCACACACTTCTCTTGGGTATCTACCTAGGATGCACACATTTAACTGTGGTAGCTGCTGTCAAACGGTTTTCCAAAGGGTTTATATCAATTTACACTCCCACCAGCAGTGTATGAGAGTTTCCATCACTCTGCTGCATCCTTGCCAACATTTGTCATTTTCTTCTTTTAAATTATGACATGATTTTAATGGCGGCCTCATATACCACTTAGAGGATATATAATAATTTATTGAATCTCCTAGTATAAAAAATTAGGGTTGTTTTTTGTTTCTTTCTTTTTGGTTGTTATTACGTAATGCTTTCACTAATCTCCTATAGCTATATATTTCTGTATGTCCATGATTAGTTACTTAAAGAAAAATTACTTGAAGGGAAACCATGTCAAGAAAATTACTTGAAGTGAAAGTAGGTCCATTTTCTAAAAGGTTTGCTCTCTACTGACAAGTTGTATCTTGGAGCATGTCACCAAGTGTTGCTCCCACTAAGAGTTATAAGTGCCCAGTTCCCAGTACTCCAGCCAACATTTAAAAAGCATCTCACTAAACTGATAGATAAAAATGGTTTCTCATTATCTTAATTTGTTCTTATTCAATTGTAGTGAGATTAAAATATTTGTATTTCTTCCATCTAATCATATCCTGTGCCCATCTTTGTATTCATCCTTTCCACAGTAATCTGTAAAAGCTCTTTATCTGCTAAAAGCATTAATTATTTGCCTTTAATATATATTGTAAGTTTATATATTATTTTTCTACATAAATATAGAAAATATGTTTTAAGAAATTTTTTTTTTTTTTTTTTTTTAGACGGAGTTTTGCTCTTGTTACCCAGGCTGGAGTGCAATGGCACGATCTCGGCTCACCACAACCTCCGCCTCCTGGGTTCAGGCAATTCTCCTGCCTCAGCCTCCTGAGTAGCTGGGATTACAGGCATGCGCCACCATGCCCAGCTAATTTTTTGTATTTTTAGTAGAGACAGGGTTTCACCATGTTGACCAGGATGGTTTCGAACTCTTGACCTTGTGACCCACCCGCCTCGGCCTCCCAAAGTGCTGAGATTACAGGCTTGAGCCACCGCGCCCAGCCTTTAAGAAAATATTAACATTTACATAATTTTACTCCTGACTAGTTATTCCATGAGAGAGAGAGAGAATTCAAAAATTTAACCAAATGTAAAATTATTTTTTACTATGCATTTAAGCATCTTTAAAGGAATTCCCTAATGAAATACTAAATGTTATTGTCAAAATTATCAAATTCTCTTCTGATCTTTGCTATTTATTGCATACATTAAGTAGCTGATTTCATTATGCACCAAATGTGTGTTGTTTCTAATCCATCATTTTATATCTACTTCTATATATCAGCATAGAAGTAATTTTTTTTTCTTTTGAGATGGAGTCTTGCTGTGTCACCCAGGCTGGAGTGCAGTGGCTCGATCTCAGCTCACTGTAACCTCTGCCTCCCAGGTTCAAGCAATTCTCCCTGCCTCAGCTTCCTGAGTAGCTGGGATTACAGGTGCCTGGCACCATTCCCAGCTACTTTTCATATTTTTTCATAGAGATGAGTTTCCCATGTTGGCCAGACTGGTCTTGAATTTGGGACCTCAGGTGATCCGCCCACCTCGACCTCCCAAAGTGCTAGGTTAACAGGTATGAACCACCATGCTCCACCAGATGTAAGTTTTAATTACCACTACTGCATAATGCAATTTTAAATTAACGGTATGACATAACACATTTTATTTAGTTCTCATAAAACATTTAAGATCAATTTCTTCACTATAATAAATAGCATTGCTGGGCACAACCTTATATAAGTTCTTCTTGGCATCTTTAGAGTTAAATTCTTAAATCAGTCTCAAAAATAAAACTACCTGATTACCAGGGGAAAAACTATGATACATACACATTTACTGTTTTCCCCCAGAGAACACTCCAGAAAGACCTGTTCAACATTTACTGAGTCCTAGACATTTGTCTGTCATGCACAATGTTTAAAAAGGATTATTTTTCTAAACCTCCAATAACATGGGTTTTGTTCAGTTTATTTATTCTGGCTAAATGTATGGGTATATCGTGTATTTGAAGTTATTCTAACTTGTACTTCTTCAGTGCTTACAAGATCCATATGGTAGTTTAATGTGTGCTTTCTTTATAAACTGTTTATCACTTTGTGGCAATAACCTTGAACTTGATTTTGGGTCAAATTCAGCAGTGAAACTTCAATACTTATTCTATTCTTTGCATTTATTGGTAGAAAGCTTTCAAATGTAATTTATACTATGTGCTTTCTTTCCACTCTCTTGCAGAGCAAGAGCCAAGTTCCAGGCAGGTCTACGCCCTTAGCACCTCAGATAGGGTTCGTGTACAAAGTTGATGCCACATGGGGTGACATCTCAGACATGCTCTCACCCTCACCAGGACCTATGGCCTTGCAGCTGGAGCTGCAGGCTCTCCTTTCGTAGCCAGCACTCCTCAGGGCCATGTCATCTGCGAATCTGAGGGAGGGCTGCACCCGGCAGGGCGGATGGCAGGGAGGATGGCAGGGAGGTTCTGTTCCTGGCTTCTGCTGACTTGGCTCACACCATCCTTAAGCAGCCCTGTCTCTGTGCGCCATATCATCAACTCGTTTATCTTCTACTGAAAACAGAAGCTGCAGAGCTGGTGTGAGACGCCCCTCACTGAAGTGGTGTGAGGAATGGAGAATAAATGTGAGAAGTGCTCCTGGTTTTCTTTAGAGGAAAGGTTTGCTATAAGCATTAGGCACTAGCATTTTTCTGAAATTGTGTGTGTGCAGGGGTGATTTTTGCTCCACAAGGGGACATCTGGCAATATATGGGGCCATTTTTCTACTACCACAATTGGGGGGTGCCACTGGCATCTAGTGGGTAGAGGTCGGGATGTTACTAAACATCCTACAATGCATAGGACGGCCCCAAACAACAGAAATGATCTGATCCCAGATGTCAGTGGTGCCAAGCTGAGAATACCTGTTCCAAAACAAAATGACCACCCTCAGTGGCCCCTTGCTAGACCCAAAGCAAACTATTAGACCAGGAGAGAGCATTCAGCAACACAAACTGAAATAGCCTTGATTAAGTCTTGTGTAGATATGGAAACTTCATGTAAGAATTTTATATTTTGTTCTGGCATTTCCTATTACAATAGGAAATAGGCAATTCCTGTTACAACATATAATGTAATAGGAAATATATATATGATATAATAATAGCCTAGTACTATGGTACTGAAGCTCAAGCTATTATTATCACTATCGAAATTACACATTGGAACTTGACTTCGCAATGCCTCACTGGCTGTGCACTTTGACATGGCCCCGCATGTGAGGTTTCCAGTGAGACAGAAAGTCACTCAGAGACACTTGCGAGCCTGTACCAAGAAGCAAGAATGAGAAGGGAAATGACGTAGACATCAGTAGACCAATGAGGTGGAGGTGGAAGCTCCCAATGAACGGGGGAGAGAAATGGCTGAGCCGGGCTTGTTTGGAATTAGATTCTAAAGCTGCCAGATCCAGCTACCTAAGATGCCACCTGTCACAGGGAAGCTAGGTAGTGCTGCTTCTCAACATTTAAAACCTTCTGCTCAAGTGTATTCAAGTGGTTTAAGCTCCACAGTAAACCAATCAGGAAAAAAAAAGGTCTTACCGGAGGTGCTGATGGTAGGGGAGGAGGAGGAGCCCCCAGTGGAGGGGGAGGTGGAGGCAGAGGAGGTGGTGGCGGCGGTGGCACTGGCATGTGTCACAGTGTTGATGTCTCCTGCTTATGAATGGTCCCAAAAGAGTGGCTTCTGCTCTGAAAGAAAGAAAAACAATAGCTTTAAACTTGGATTTTTTTACTCATATGCAGGTAATGCATATCTTGCAGACATATGCATATTATAGGTAGTTTGATTCTTTCACCTGTTCATTCATTCATTCATTCATTCATTCACAGAGTGTCCACTGTGAGGCAAGCCGTGTGCTAAGTGCTGGAGATTGACAAAAGCAGCCAGATTCTAGAGACAATTAAAACTGATAGAATTTAGCTATTTGAGTCTCAATACAAATAGAATATACATATACTTAATTCTATAATGAATTTTCCAGATAACTGACTTCTACCTTTTTAGCATTAAACTTTTAGTTTTATCGTTTTCAGTCATTCTGCATAGACTCCCATTTTCCTAAGCAAACAGAATGAAATGTAACCTTTTGTAAATGTCACAGGCTCAACATGAACTCATGACACCAGCCTCAAGCAAGGCTTAGGGCGTTAGTCATTTTTCTGCCTCTTTCTCTCCTGCTAGCGCTTACTATCCTTGCTATTCCTGTGTTCTTGTTTCTGCCCAGCCATCTTGATGAGGATGGGCCACCTCTCCTCTGCACAGACTGTCTATCCGGTATTTGCTATGCAGAGGGCGGCGGCGGGGGGGGGGCGGGGTTGGCATGATTCTGCAAATATTATTCTGTTTCAAATAGCTAATATAGGATGTCTGATCTCCGGATAAATGTGTGGAGCCTGTATGTGTGCATGCATGTGTCTATGTGTGGGTGAGTGTCTTAGAACTCATAGCAAGGCACACTGCAAGGACTTAAAATCTGTATTAAAGAAAAACCCCATAGTTTACAAGAATTGAAAAACCTCTATAAGAATCTAAAAACAATCAAAGCAGAAAGTGAAATAAACCTCACATTTGGGCAGGGGTGATTTTGTGTTTCTGCTGTCCCTTTAGTCACTGGAGGACCAGAATGAGGCCTGTCCCTTTGTTTTTTTTTTTAAATCTTTAAAATCCTGTGGCATTATAATTTTTCATGTTAATATTCTTATCTCCACAGAGTCCAAAAGCATTTATACAATGTGATGCTTTCTTGGTAGCATAGGCCACTGAATTTTGCTCACTTGATATGTTAATTCTTTTTATCTTTTTATATTTGGTCATTATGTGACACACTAATCACACTTATTTCCACAATAATCTTCTAAGGTCGGGGCTTCAATGCCCTAGCATCCCCATTTTTATAGGTAAAGAAAAGGACATTCAAGTACATTAAATCTTTTGCTCAAAGTCACCTATACTATAACCAGCAGACCTGGAATTGGAACCAAGGCTTAACAGGCTCTAAAGTCCAAGAATATCAAATGTATCATTTTATTCCCTTTTAAGTATACAATTCAGTGGCATGAAATGCATTCACAATGCTGCGCAACCAGCACCACTATCCATTTCCAGAACTTTTTCATCATCTCAAACAGAAACTCTGTACCCATTAAACAATAACGCCCCATTGTCTCCTCCCCTCAGCTCCCTAAACCTCTGTTCTACTCTGTCTCCATGAATTTGCCTAGTGTAGGTACCTCATACACGTGGAACCGTACAGTATTTGTCCACTTGAGTCTGGCTTATTTCATTTAGCATAATGTTTTCAACCTTCATTCATGTTGTATCATGGATGAGAAATTCATTCTCAAGTATTCCATTGCATGTATATGCCACATTTAGTTGAACCATTCATCTATTGATGAGTGCTTGGCTTGCTTTCACCTTTGGGGTGTTGTGAGAAATGCTGCAATGAACATTGATGTACAAATATCTCTTCATGACCTTGCTTTTCATTCTTTTCGGCATATATGCAAGAGTGGAACTGCTGGATCATATGGTGCCATCTTTTTTCCCAGCAGGGTCAATCTAAAATTGTATAAAAATTGTAAATGGTGTAAAATATGTGTGTCAGAGCAACTTTTTGGGGAAAGAGTCCATGATATTCTTCCTAGGAGTTCCAAGGAGGTGCAAGAGCTGATTGTTGTACATGACCATATTTTTCTTACAAAGTATTTCAGGCTCCCTGAAAGAAGGAACCTGATCATCACTGTCCTACTGCTTCCTTCCTTGATATTAAAACAAGAACAGAAAGACCAAAAAATAAAATACTCATCAGAGTCCACAGCGGAAAACCATAGTAAAATTGAGCAGAGATCTCAGGAGGGTAGTACATGTTTCTTTCAGGTAACATCAATGTTATTTTATTACTAAAACCAAACTAATGGTGTGCTAAACTAATACACACAATGACATAGAGTCAAACACAGCATTTTACAGGCTGACGCTAAGGCAACTTGGATGGAAGCCCACAATTTAGTTGGAACAAACATAAATTATCAGATATTTGTATTTTAACACTTTCTTTTATAAAAGGCACTGAATCTATTCATTTTATAATCTTTTATTCAGTGGCAAAAATATTTTCAGTCAAAATTTTATAGTAAGGATTAAAGAGTTGAAGTATTAATAGCACAAGAGAATATAGAGAGGTCTCATTATATAAGGATCTCATCTTTTAACTAAGACACATGACAGGAGACAGAACTGCGTCTCCTGGTGAAAAACTGGAAAGGGTGGGGAAGAATAACCTTTAAAAACTGAAAAGCCACTTACCTAAGGGTTTTGTCATTTACCTAAGAAAAAATAGCTGTATAAAGCGACTTTAAGGAGAATTGTGGCAGAGTACTCCTGTAATCCCTCAGCACATGGCTAGGTTACATCTCCCAGTCTCCTTTGCAGTTAGATGTGACCACGAGACTGAGTTCTCGTGGTCTGTCAATGCAATGAAGGCAGAGGTGATGAGCTATTACTTCTGGGCTGGTTCAGAAAGACCTTCTGCCCATGACTTTTCTCTTTCTCCACTCATTGGCTGGTAGCAAAGGTCCTATGTGTTGGCAGAGCCACAAAATGAAAGGAGTCCAGGTTCCTGACTCACCTGTAAGACCACCTGCCAAACATCTGATTAGACTTTACATACGTGAAAAATAAACTCCCATTGTGTTAAGTCATGAAGATTTTCTAATTAATTTGTTTTATCTACTAATATTGAACCTATCTAATACAGGAACTAAATAAAATACAGGTGATTCTCATTATTCACTATAGTTATATTTAGAAAGTTGTCATGAACACAGAATGTGATGATTACTTTTATGTGTCAACTTAGTTGGGCTAAGGGCTGCCCATCTGGCTGGTAGAACATCATTTCTGGATGTATCTGTGAGGTCTTTCCAAAACAGGTTAGCATTTGAATCTGTAGACTGAGTAAAGATCTCCCTTAACAATGTGGGTGGCCACCATCTAATCCATTGAGGGCCCAGATAGAATAAGGCAGCCCATGGCCAATGGCACTAGGAGTCAAATATTTTCTCCATAAGGCACATCACAGCCTTCTTGGGCTTAAGAATACTAGGTTGCGCTTCAGCACTTCACTTGGGGCCATTTTAAGCTGCAAAATCACCAACAATAAGTACAAAATTGGAAAAATGTGGCATTACACAGACTGCAAGAGCATACTGGTTTAAAGCATAAGAGCTGAAACAAGAAGGCAGAGTGTCCTCTTATTGCAGCTCAGCTAGAACATGGTCATGCCACGTACACATTAGTGTCTGCAGTTTTCCACTGCTTTTCACATGCCTGGGAATGACCATAAAAGCACCCTGAGTACTGATTTTCCAGTTACAGATATATTTTAGCAAATACACATAGGTGACTTCACAAATGTAGAATCTGCAAGTAGTAAGGATCAGCTGTATAGCTTTTTGACTCACCCACCCAGTAGGTGCCCAGCCCTGCATTGGGGCTTCTAAGACGTTGTTTTATGTAATCCTCTCGACAACCATGTGGTAGATATTTCCATATAGCAAATAACCAAACTTTGCCTCAGAGAAGTATGCAATTTCTACTAAATTTCAGAAAGATCATCGGAGCTGAATTTAAAGCCCTGGTTTTTCTAATCTAAAAGCTCATTTCTTTTTTTTCTCTTTTTTTGAGACAGAGTTTCACTCTGTCACCCAGGCTATAGTGCAGTGATGTGATCTCAGCTCACTGCAACCTCCACTTCCTGGGTTCAAGTGATTCTCCCACCTCAGCCTACCAAGTAGCTGGGACTATAGGCACACACTGCCATGCCTGGCTAATTTTTGTATAATTAGTAGAGATGGGGTTTCACCATTAAAACCTCATTTCTACTGCACCACATTACTCTATTAGCATGATATGATTCAGGTCATGTGACACACCTGCTTCCATTTTGCAAAGATGTAAAACTATTTTTGAGATCTTTAAGTGAGAGGAACCCCATAAAGGTGACTGTAATTCTTCCGCTTGCTCCTTCTTCACCTGAGCGCCCTTGGTTTCCATCTAGGAACCTGGGAATGCTTAGGTACCACAGAGACGCTGCCTTGCTGAACTCACAGGGAAGGATTTTTCAAAATCCAGGATTGGAGGATATTTTTATATGCAGTGTTTGATGGCTGTGAAAGGCTTTTTTCTTTCTTGACAGATACAATAATTAAGCAATTACCAAAAGAAGTATGCGTTAAAATCTGACAGTTGAGAATGCTGAGGTCCGGGAAGTCAGGGGCTGCACCCAGGAGCTCTTTGAGGCTTTGTGTTCTCTCAACCCATTTAGAATGTTGTTTTGCTCTGAAATGTATTTAAAATGTTTAGAATTTCAAAGGCCAGATTCTCAAAGGCTTTTATACTTTCTCTCAGTTCACAAAATATCTGAAAAACAGCATCAAAATGCACATTCAAGCACCATTAGAGGGTGGTGAGGGACACAGAACTAAAATGCACTTCCACGGAGGCCAGAATACAGGGACTGGTCTCAGAATCAGATGGCCCTGGGTTCTGCTTCCACCTTTCCCTTTTCCTGGCTACAGGGCTTTTGTTCAGGTCACTTTACCTTAGTGGGCCTCCTTTTCTTGATTTGTAAATTAGGAGCTATAATGCTTAATTCTTTTTGTTGTTAGTATTAAAACAAACACTG